TTTGGTACATTTATGGCAATGTGCTTGCTTATTTTTCTATATTGTTTTAATTTTGTTACTTAGGCATTGTTTCCTAAAACTGAAAATTAACTACTGAAAACTTTAAAAGTTGAATTTTTTAATTTGAAAAACTGTTTGGTATCTACTGAAATTTATGTGCTAAATAAATTTATTGTCTGCTCTTTTTCCTGCATTGGTGTTTATGTCAGTATTTTATTATTTAATTTTTTCACTGTTTTGTCCACTTAATTAATTTTTTAACTCCACCCCTGTTCTTGTGGTTCTTATTTGAGTGGTTGTTTCTCTTTTGATAGATGGGAGACAATGGCTATGGATCTTTGTCTTCATACTCGTCAAAGATGTATGGAGGGTTATGGCCATGAGTTTTTTACTATATTGAAAGACTCTTCAATAAATCTCATTTTGGGCGAAATTAAAGATGGCTGTAGAAAAAAAGGTAAGAATGTTTGTGGTGGTCATACTTTATGAACATAATAAATATACTCACAGCACAGTAATTAATTTTAATGTGTGATCACTGTGTGCATGGAAATTATAAATAGCAATCTTTTTTTTTTTTGCTTTGAAGTTAACTCTCCTTGACAACCACATTTCATTATACTTTTAGTGTGGAACATAAGCATTCTATATGAAATTTGCATTCTTATCTCAGGAGAACTAGCATATAATTTTTCGATGATACTATTATTGCTTCAATTTTCTGGTTAGAGTTTCCATTTCATATTTTTCATCTCTTTGGAGATATGTTTACTCAAAAAATTCATAATGAATATCAAATAAGACAATCAACCAACATAGCTAAATTACAATGAATGTTTTCGATGTATGGGTTGATTATTCGTAATGAGAGTGAATAGATACTGGCCATATAGATATAGCATCTATACAAAACACCCTTTTAGTTGGGTTCTTTTTTTATTTAATTTATCTACATGATAGGTTATTCTATTCGATATCATGTTAGTTAGTCAGAAAACATTTTCACAAGTTGATCCTGTTTAAGGAGGGGAATTTGAGATGGAGGACTGTTGAGACAACTATAAAAGTATAAATGAAACCATTTTGAGTGGGTGGGTTTTTAACATAATGAAAGAATGCTTGATTTGGGATGATTTGCTCATCTGCATTCGAGACCAATAAATTTGATGGTGGGGATGTGGTAGAACTAAGGTGTAACATGAATAAGAAGACAACCAAAAAGGGCATGGGTTGAGAAGTGATAGTGCATTTTGGTCTTTAATTTAGCGAAACATGTCGTCTTGGAAAAAGTACAAGCATTAAATGGCACAATGACATATCGCCTTGCAAATTGTGCTACACTTTGTTTCACATTAATCCCAAACCTAAGTTCAGATCATGCTTGGGCCTGCTCATGGCCTAGCCCTAAGTTAGTTGCCATTTTAGCTTCTGCTATTATTAATATGAGGTTTGTAAAAGTTTTATCTTATTAAGCTAACAAGGGATAGAGATCTAACAGAAGGGATTTTTGGGGATTCATTCATGTGGCAAGCTCATATTCCCCAAAGTTTACTTATAGTGGATGTAAGGTTATTTGATATTGGGCTGGCATTAGCCAGGTGTCCAAATACAATAATAAAACCCGAGGTTGGGCATGCTCTTAATTGAGGTCTTGTCAGAAAATAGCAAAAGAAAGTATTAACACAAAATATCCAGGAAAGTTCTTTTTCTTGAATTTAATTACTTAAGATACTGTTTATCTAGATTATCAAAGAAAAAAATAAGGCTTTGTTTAGCTTGCTATATAACTTTAGGCCCTATTTAACTATGTTAGCCTGGAAAATGTTATAGAGTTCCTATAAGTCTCTGATTTCTTATTGGTTGATGTTTCACAGAGAACATGCTCCATCAATCATCTTTATGGATGAAATCGACAGTATTGGATCAGCTCAAATGGAATCTGGATCTGGCAATGGTGATAGTGAAGTGCAGCGGACCATGCTGGAGCTTCTCAATCAACTGGATGGATTTGAAGCATCTAACAAAATCAAAGTACTGATTCCCTGCTTGTGTGCATTGGTGAAATTGTTCACCGGATTAAAACTTGCCCCTTCATATAAATAATTTGATCACAAGACAACTACTTTTCATAGGTTTTGATGGCTACAAATCGCATTGACATTTTGGATCAAGCCCTTCTGAGGCCTGGAAGGATTGACAGGCTGATAGAGTTCCCAAATCCCAATGAAGAGGTATGTTTTTATTCATCATAACTCCTACATATGTCCTTGGGACATATTTTAATTTTAATATCCTGGTCATATAGCCATTACCTATTAATGCACATTTTCAGGTTGTATTCTATTTTTGGTAGATTTACTTTGTTTGGTTCTACATAATATTTTTTGATTGGTTGTTTTACATTTTTTCCTTTTGGGTTTTCTTTTTTCTTTTTTGAATTGAAGGCCGAGCTAAAGGAAAAATTGTCTAGGATGTAGGTGAAAGACCCAAATGCCATCTTTGTTTTTAAGTTCCGGACCGATTTTGGAAGAGGCAAATCTACTGGTTTTGGCTTGATTTATGATTCAATTGAGAATGCAAAGAAATACGAGCCATAATTTACTTTTTTTTTCTTCATATATCATTCATGGGCTTTGAGAAAAATATTTGGTTCCGTCATTGATCTTCTACTCCCCTAACTGCTAATTATATCCGGATTGCGAATCATATATCATTCATGTTTAATTTTACAATTAAGCAAATTTGTAAAATCCTTTCAGATTCTGTGTTGGGGTGAATTTACCTGAATATATAATATGTGTGATTGATCCATACGAGTCACAGGCTTAATGATGCGTCTTATTTTATTGTTCATGTTATTTCTTTTTTCAGGTTGATCTGCTCAGAGGTCAGAAATCAGATAAAGTTGATGTCACATTACAACCAGAAGAGTTGGAAGCAATGAACAATGTCTTGCATGCAAAGTAAGTCCAAGTCCTCATGGTTTGTTTAGTGTCAGTGTCAGTATCAGTACATTAGCTACAAGGCACTTAATTCATATTTATTTTGCATTTCACAGGTATGAGGAAGCAAGGAGGAGGAGAAGCTGCGTAGTCAGCGGGAGGATTTCAGTGACATGGTTGCCGAGGTGTGCATCTCTCACAATCTTTCTGATTTTGTACTTGTTTTAATTAGTATTTATGGACACTTTTGTTCTGATGAGGTGGAATTGTTCAGAATGAGAAGAAGAGGAAACGAAAAATGCAGGAAAAGGATGGAAAATCGAAGAAAAAGGATTTCAACTTCTAGGACGTGCTGCTGGTTTTGTGATCGGAATGTTAGAATACCAAATCCATTATGCTTTTCTTAGGCACCTCTAAATTTTTATCATTCGGAATCATAATTGTTGTGTGTCCATTGCCAAAAATGTAGTCCCATTCCATGGCACCAAAGACAGCCTTTGTGTTATGGGTTTGGTTAATGAGAAATTTGTTGGTGATTTTATACGCTGCTACTTTCTATTTCCCCATTGCTTAGGATGGAAAATATGTTATCTATCAAAGTTGTTTGATGGGTTTCATGTTCTTGGTGTGAATGCATGCTTTTCCTTGAGGCCAGATAACCTGAATCATAGTTGAGACCAACAATTCTAAATGAAAATAATTTTTAGAAATGCAGGAAAACAATTGTATACACAGCTCATAATTTTTAGAAATACAGGAAAACAATTCTGAATGAAAATAATTTTTTTAGTTATTTTTTATTTAATACAGGCAATTTTCATATTTTTAATAATTTTATTACAAATTTTTTTTTTGAGACGACAGCGCACACACCGTCTCAAAAAGAAAAATAGAACAAGGGTTTTTTGCAACGGCAGTAATACTATCGCAAAAGATAGGGCATTTGTTGAAAATGAAGTTTTTTAGCGACGGTATTTGTGCCGTCGCAAATAACCCTTTTAGCGACGGCAACACAGTGCTGTCTAAAAAAACCTCAGATTTTCATGCGTTAATGGTGACAGCATTTTTCTGTCACAAAAAGGCATTTTTGCCGTCGCCTTTTTTTTGCGACGGTGTTATACCGTCGCTAAAACCCTTTTGCAACCCCTTTTGTTGCGACCCCCCATTTGCCGTCGCAAAAGGCCAGTTACTGTCGCAAAAAACCTTTTGAGACGGCGTTTTGAGTATTTGCGATGGCATTTTACCGTCGCAAAAAAGTAACTTTTTTGTAGTGATACATATTCTGTGCACAGTAACCAATGCATATTCGATGCAATATGTTCAATGAAGAAACGCGCGTCTCAACAAGACCGATTAAGATGCAACCTCCGATTTATCACTTGGAGAAGTTGCAACGAATTAAAAGGATACACCTCGTACGTGCTGAGCATCACATGCTGAAAACACAGTCTGGAGCTTCCGCGCAGGCCACTTGAGCTTAAAAAATGTACTTCCCTTGCATTTTCTTAAGGGATCTTGTGCTGTTGGGGATCTCCTGCTTCTGCATCTCACACTTCCAAACCACAAGTACTTCTTTTCTTCCTAGCCATGTTCACAACTTTCCCTATTCTCCAACAGGCTGACAGACTAGGTTCTATGGGGCTTCCATACAGATTTCAAGCCGGGGATACACCCCTGGGTATTTAAACAAGACTTCAGTCTCGGAATTCCCGAACCATTGAGTTCTAGTGTAGACGCGCCCGCATGGGGGGCTTCGCTACTACAGTTCGGACTCTCGATTTTGTTGTCGCGGTTCTTAATCTGAACCAAAGAGTCCAAATCTAGCAAATCGTTTTGAGAAACATATTTTTAAAAAAGTAGTGCCATACATGGACTGCTTTGCCAGATACAGAGTCGCCACCTAAATATTTTTTAATGGGGAAATTTAGGAAACCCTGACTCGGTGCCGAAGGCCACATGTCCGTCATCCCCGGAGTTGTCTCGGCTCGGGAGCTTGGGTACGATCGGGGAAGGTCAGCTATGAGCACCCCCTCACGCGGCTTAAGAGATGCATGACAATGCGAACGAACATGCGCACATCAATGCGCCAAAGGTTTTGCACCTTCCAAGGATTTAAGGTCTCCTAGACCGTGCGTATTTAAGGTCTCGCCAGACCATGCGTGTTTAAGGTCTCGCCAGACCATGCAACCCCATTGCCTTGCACGTCTGTTTTTCTCTGTTTGCTGTCAAAACTGTCTTCTGCCAGGAAGTTTCTCTTGCGACCGCAGAATTCAGTGCCGGCGGCAATCTTTAATGGCGATAAATCAAACAGTGCCGATGGAAATCCTGGACTGCCGGTGGGAATTCTGTTAAGCCGGTGGTACTCTGCAACATTCAAGGAACCTGTCCTAGGGTGTTTTGGCATTTTCAGAAAGACAGGGCAGTGTAAACAGAGGTGCAGAAGATATGGTACAGGTTTTTTCAGGCGAGCCGGATTCGAGCACGCATCATTCGCGTATCCCGAGGCAGAGGCTGCGGCCACCCCTCTTCTTCTTTTGCATTCTTTCTTTTTTATTAATTAGAAATTTCTGTAATAATTTTATTTGCTTATTATTTGGGGCTGTAATATTTATTTTGTATCCTCCGAGTGAGGGCAATTGTGTAATAAGTGTGTGTGAGTGTGTGTATGTCTTCCCAACCCCACGTCTTCCTTCCCTTTTATTTACCCGCTTATGATGGTAGACTAGGGCATATTTAATTAGCATACCTTATGCTATGCATGCGTGCAATCCATGCATTTGTATTGCCATGCATTGGGCTCGGTACATCATGCTAACTGCATTTTGTATTTCAGTTCCAAATTGAATACGTGCATCAAATTGATCGCATTTCATATGCCATGCTTAGGAAGTCGAGCCTATCTAATTGGCATCCTGTAAAATGTGTGCATTAGGCAATTTAACATGAACTAGGACATGCATTTTGCTAACTAGTTTATTGTTTGGCACGGAGTACGATGTAAGTATTTTTGCTTTAGCATCCCGCATGCGTGTGAGTGTTGCCATGACAGTATGCTTGCCATGTGGCTAAATGCTTATCTGATAAAACTGATTGAATGCCTGTGGGTGAAGGTTGGATTGTTGGAGTTGGAGAACTCATTGAAATCTGTGTTTTAGTCTACTTGCGAGTAGCAAATTCCAAAGACTTTTTCAAAACAAACGGATATTGCAATGCTTATTTCCAAATTAGGCAATCTAGTCTATACTTGTTTGTTGCGCCGCATAAACATAGTAATTCTAGCTAATAAATGGAATAAGAACACATAACGTTTTCAAAAACGGATATTCATAGTTAGTAGAGGCCGGTCTTCGACCGGGCGAAAGGGGGTGCTCATAGCTGACCTTCCCCGATCGTACCCAAGCTCCCGAGCGGGCAGGACAACTCGGTGATGACGGACATGTGCCCTTCGGCACCGAGTCTGGTTTCCTAATTTCCCCATTTAAAAAAATTAGGTGGCGACTCTGTATAACTGGCCAAAGCAGTCCATGTATGGGCACTACTTTTCAAATAATATTGTTCTCAAAAACGATTTGCCGTATATTATGGACCTTTGGTGTCAGATTAAGAAACCGCGGACAACAAAATCGAGAGTACCGAACGTGTTAGTAGCGAAAGCCCCCCTATGCTGGGCAGCGTCTACCACTAGAACCAATGGTTCGGGAATTCCGAGAACTGAGTCCTTGTTTAAATACCCAGGCGGTGTATCCCCGGCTTGAAATCTGTATTGGAAAGCCCCCATAGAACCCTAGTCTGTCAGCCTGTTGGAGAATAGGGAAGTTCGCTGAACATGGCTAGAGAAGAAAAGAAGGTACTTGCTGGTTTGGAAAGTGTGAATGCAGAAAGCAGGCAGATCCCCAACAGCACAAGATCCCTTAAGAAAATGCAAGGGAAAGTACATTTTTTAAGCTCAAGTGGCCTGCGCCGAAGCTCCAGACTGTGTTTTCAGCATGCTGATGCTCAGGCACGTACGAGGGTGTATCCTTTAATTCGTTGCAACTTCTCCAAGGTGATAAATCGGAGGTTGCATCTTAATCGGTCTTGTTGAGACGCGGCGTTTCTTTCATTGAAACATATTGCATCGAATATGCATTGGTTACTGTGCACAGAATATGCTATCACTACCAAAAAAGTTACTTTTTTGCGACGGTTAAATGCCATCGCAAATACTCAAAACGCCAGTCTCAAAAGCGTTTTTTGCGACAGTAACTGGGCCTTTTGCCGACGGCAAATGGGCGGTCGCAACAAAAGGCGTTGCCAAAAGGGGTTTAGCCGACGCTTATAACACCGTCGCAAAAAAAAAAAGGCACCCGGCAAAAATGCCTTTTTGTGACAGAAAAATGCTGGTCACCCATTAACGCATGAAAATCTGAGGTTTTTTAGACAGCACTGTTGTTGCCGTCGCTAAAAAGGTTATTTGCGACGGCACCAAATACCGTCGCTAAAAAAAACTTCCATTCTTCAACAAATGCCCTATCTTTTGCCGAAGTATTTACTGCCGTTTGCAAAAAACCCGTTCTATTTTTTCTTTTTTGAGAACGGTGTGTTGCGCTGTCGTCTCAAAAAAAAAAATTTGTAATAAAATTATTAAAAAAATATGAAAAATTGCCTGTATTAAATAAAAAATTAACTTAAAAAATTATTTTTCATTCAGGAAATTGTTTTCCTGTATTTTCTAAAAAATTATGAGCTGTGTATTACAAATTGTTTTTTCCTGCATTTCTAAAAAATTTATTTTCCATTTAGAATTGTTGGTCTCAACTTATTGATTTCAGGGTTACTGGCCTTTCAAGGAAAAAGCATGGCCATTCACCACCCAAAGGAAAAACATTTTGGAAAAAACCCATCAAAAAAAACCAAAAAACCCCTTTTTTTGATTTTTAAATC